AGTCTGCCTTCAGCATTCCCTGGGGACCTTGCTGCTCCATTCCCTTGCTGTTCCGCTGCACTCCCCCAGTGCTTTGCCTCTGTGTGGCGGGATCAGATTGGGTGCAATTCCCACACTGTGTCTCTGGTGCTGTCCCCTGCAGTGAGGGGCATTATGTCTCATAGTGGGGCTGGCCATTTGGTCCTCTCTGTGAACTGGCTGCTCTAATTGGGTTCTAATTGGGTTCATCGTCCTCATGGCCTGGTGGGCCAGGATGACTTCACAACTTCTTGTAAACACCTTTCCCCCCTTGATTCTTGCTAAGTTAACTATTTGAAAAATTGGCTCTCCTTGACTTGATGATTCAGGTTTTGCTGTGTGCAGGGCTTTGGGGCACATTCCATTTGGCAAATTAGTCTACTCATGTCTAAGCCTGATTCTCCGTACCCAACGATAATCTGAACTTGATATTCTACTCAGAATAATTTGACCTGGGATGCCTGTGTTCAAGGGCTGCTTTCTTGGGGCTAGTATGGGCTGAGTGTCTTCCAAGATGTTGTAGAGAGGGCAACGCCCACCTGAGTCACCCTCAACCTCATCTGCATGGAAAAAATTTCCCTGCAGCAGCTGCCCAAAGCCACGACCCTTACACCAGGCTCCAGCCTGCATTAAAAGATTTTTGAGCCATCCCAGGGGCTTTGGCTGGGAATGGGTCCAGCCCCCAAGGAGGTTGCTTGAGGTAGAGGTTCCAGGGCCCCCGTTGAGCGCATAATCTGTGCTGGGTGATCAGAGGGACCCAGCTCTAGCTGGGTAAACACCAAAGTCTAGGCCTATGCACCTCTTCCAGGTCTTCGCCTGGTCTTACCAAGGAATCCTGGGGCCGTGCTGTGTTGTCCTTGAAGGTGGGGTGCTCATTCTGCAGGCCAGTGTGTTAGAGAGGACCATGGTCTAGGGGAGAGGGCGGGTTGGGACAACAGTCCCCTGACAAAGAGGACAATACACAGCTGTTCTCACAGTCTGTCCCGTACTGTGTTGATGGATGAGTGTGGACAGGAGCCTGTGCAGTGGCAGGTGAGCTCCCGAGGACAGGGATCAGCCAGGGTAACACGTCTGGTTGCCCTCTCTGCAACACAAGAGGATAAGTGAAAGGTCGAAAAGCCACCCAAGGGCTGGCGGAAGGTGGGAGACACTGCCTTCTGATAGGAGAGGGGGCATAGAGATGCCCCTTGGTGGTGGTGAAGGGGGGATACATACAAGCTCAGAGAAAATGAAGGCAGGGCTTTGACAGGATCAGAGGTATCCCTGTGGGTCCTTCAGGCCACTTCCCACCCCCTGACTCTGCCGGGCCTGCCTAATGCCATGTGTGGGACAACCCGAAATAGACCATCACAATGAGGTGGCAGAGGACTCTGGATCTGGTTCCACCCACGGACTCTCATCCACAGCCCATCCAAGGCCTTGGGAAAGGCTTTGGAAAGAGGTCCACAGAGTCATACACGTATATTTAATTTGTATCTCTTTTCTTAAAGAAGGCGCCTGGGAATCACTGTAGATTGGATCCATCCCTGCCTAGATACAGCACACATGTGCACCTGTGCTCCTGTGACCTGTGGTGCCTGCCATCCAAAGCAACTTCTGCCCTCCCACCCCACCCAGGGAGGCCAGCCACAGCCAAGGGCCTCCCAGCACCGTGCAGGAATGCCAGAGGGCTTTGGGCACCAATGGTCTTTGAAGCCCATGGTCAGATAAAGACTAATTGGGCTCCACCAACTAGAGAACAGCCCGGAGGGAGAAGAAGACCTGCTTGAACGGAGGTGGGAGCAGACGCCGGCCCTAGCCTGGACCTGTCCACGAGGTGACCCACACCCGACTCTCTGACTCTTGTCCACACCCCTAAGCCCACTGAAGTAGTCCTCTGCCTAGCAGCTCTAGGGCCCACCTGGCTGGTGAGGGCTCACTGGCAAGGGGCCCCACCTAGCACATTCAGTGACGGGGTGGAGAGAACACGTTTATCGTGATGCTGAGAACCACGAGCTTATGTGCATCACCCCACTGTCAGTGCCACGGCCAGCAAGGTGTGGCTGCCCCATTTTATAGACGAGGAACCTGAGGCTTAGTGACTGAGGGAGTGAGCGTGCGGCACCAAGCGAGGCATCTCCTTTCATCCTGAGTCACTTGGGAGGCAGCCTAGCATGGGATGTGTCAGGGGCCGGCAGAGGGCTTTCTGGGGAATTCTCGTGGTGGCCAGAGTGGTGGCAGGGCCCTCTGTCTGCTCCCCCAAGGTCCCCTGGGGTCAGGACCCTGCTGGCCTTGTGGAGCTTCCCCAGAGGCTGGGTCCCAAAGGGCAGGGGAGACCGGAGTCCCCTCACATGATGCCCCGTGCTCCCATGAAGGAGAGGCAGCTGACCAGCAAGTCCGGGCTGGCCACATTACTGATTGTTAGCGTGACCAAACCTGGCCTTGGGCCAAACCTAGGTCCCCACCCCCACAGTGGAGGCTGGGATTCGACTCTGGTCCCAAGGAACGGGGAGGGCAGCAAGCTCCCACTGCACAGTGGTCTTGACCCACGACTTACCTTGGTCCCTGCACTGGAGACCCTCCAAACCCTGACCAGACCTCACTGGGGCCCTCAGTACAGCAGGCTGGATGTCCTCGGCCTGTCTCTGTGTACACGGGTGACCCCGGAGCCCCGGGCTGGGAGAATCCAGGTCCAGGCAGCCTGTTTGAATACCCTCTCAAGAAACTGGAAGATGGATGTGTGCTTTTTGGCACCACTTTAAAGCTTTCAGAGTCCTGGTGGTATGATGGTTACGCATTAGGCTGCTAACTACCAGGTCAGCAGTTCGAAACCACCAGCCGCTCCTTGGGAGAAAGACAGGGCGTACTACTATGGGACAGAGTCACAGCCTCTGAAACTCACAGGAGCAATTCCACCCCAGTCCTGCAGAGTCCCTGTGAGGCGGCATCCAGTTGGTGGCAGTGAATTTGGTTTTGTTGTTGTTGGCTTAATTCAAAAAGCTTTAAGGGCTCTTCCTAATAGGGGCTGGCAGGGATGCTGTTTCCCAAAGGCCTCATAGGTGCCTGCCTCAGCAGTGGGATGTCTCTTCAAGACACCCCCTCCCTCCTGAACGTCTAGAAAATCCTTTTCCTTCCTCATGCCTGATGGGACCCACAGAGTGGGGCTGGGGGAGGTCTCCTGATGCCGGACGGGCTTTGCCAGGTGCCCATTGTGGAGCTGCCCCACCCAATCCTTCCCCCTGTAGCTGCCCACACTGACTCACCCCACCCAGCCTCCTACTCGCTAGGCCCCAAAGCCTGATGAGGAGGTATGGAGGCATCTATAAAAGGCTGCCTCGAGTCAGGCTCAGCATTTAGCGTGACTGCCGCCTGCTGCTTCACTATGCTGGGAGGCCTGGGGAAGCTGGCTGCCGAGGGCCTGGCCCACCGCACGGAGAAGGCCACGGAGGAAGTTGGTAAGGCCACTGTGGTTTCTTCCACTGGGAGGGTCTCCTCAGCCCAGGTGGGAGCACACACACACTGGCTCCCCTAAAGCTGGCCTGACAACAGGTAGAGTGGTTTGGGGCCCCCTTTGCCCATTTGGAGCCTGACCAGTAGTCCTCCTGCTGTCAATGGAGGTGGGGCCTTCAGGGAGAGGAAGGCCGAGCATGGGGCTTGGCTTGGCCTGCCCCAGAGTCCTGTGGTTGGGGGGGACTCTGAGGTCAAGGGAGGGCCCAGGAGAGGCTGCTGGGGGCGCAGCAGGCCTCCAAGGTCCTGACCTCCACGTCAAAGCAGCCTCCTCTGAATGTCCTCTGAAGAAAGTGGAAGGTGGATTTTTATTTTTACCATCATTTTAAGGCTTTAAAGACTTCTCCACTGAACAGTTGCCAGAGTCAGTCTCCAGAGTTTGTACGAAGGATATTTGCAGTTTTCTCAAATCCCAAGAAATCTGTTTTGATAGAGTTTAATCCTGTCTGTGCTTCTGCAAACACGTCTGTATTTCAGTTGGTGGCACTGCAGCTGGGGTGGGTCACCAGATTCCATCTTTCGCTCACCCCCGAGGTGGGCATTTCTCCCATCTTAGAGAGGAGGGAGCCCAGATCTTCTGACTGCAAATGGTTCCTTTCTAGCTCACCGCCACCCAAACGCTGAGCCCTCTCAGGTGCGCAGGGAGGTTGCTCTTAGGAGAGGAATTGCTTTAGGGCACT